AACAATTTTTGAACCAAGGTGCCTCATATGGGCTAACTTACAGAATGTGTCCAAAATCTAGGGCCCATGACTCCCGTGGGATTGAAATTTGGGAAATTTGTGGCTGCTTCAGCACTGCTATGCTGCTGTGCCACTGTGGTCAGCCCAGGTCACATGATCATCATGGGCGTATCCCTGACCTCTTTCTGGCCTCCCTGTCCCCTGCGCCCAATCGGCTGGTGGCAAGGCCCGACAGGCAAGTGGCGATTGGCTGCTTTGGAAATGAGGCCGAAATTTGAAATCCCTTAACAGCGGTGGGTGTTGAGAAAAGGACAAGGGAGTGACTTGGATGCCTGCTGGCGAGACAGGGCTGGCTGGGGGGCATGGGCCATCAACAGGTGAGCCATCTTCCTCCCTTGAGAGAGGGGGCCCTTGACATGCTGGAATAGGGAATGGGGTGCAGTATTCCTCATGGTCCACCGCTCCCTTTGTTCCACCTCCTCCCAGCAAAGTGGCAGGCAGTTCTGCAGGTCAGTTGAGGAGGAAGAGGAGGCTTCACAGGGGCTCTCCTGAGGGTTGTGAGGGGAGGACAATGGCACAAGCCTATATTATATGTGGAAAGGAAGGAGGGAGGGAGGGAGGGAGGATGGAACGAAGGAAAAGGGAGGGGGAAGGGAGGAAGATTTCTGACACTCCCTGCCAGTTTCCCACAAGCAGAGTCAATGGGGAAGCCGGCAGCAAGTTGCAAGTTGCTCACACTCCCACTGCTTTTCGGCCCTCGGTCATTCTTTTTCTTTGTTTAGATAAGGAAATATCTCTGAAACGATGACCCAGTGGGCCACAGGTTGTCTGGTATATAATAAATATATCAGAAAGGTATACCTTTCTGAAAGAATCTGGCACTCACTAATAGTTTGACAAAAATTTAGCCCTAAACTTAGATTTTCTGAAATCAGGACTTGCAAATAGAACTCGGTGCATTTGAATAGGCATAACTGGGCAGGGTTCTTTTGGTTTTGGCTATTTTGATATTACTGATGGAATCATAATATTGTTTATATGCTACAGCTGTCTATTTACCTATATTTCTAATATCTGTAAAATTACTTGTGGAATGTTTTACTTTCCAGTTTCTTTAAGAAAAGCTACTTCCTACTTTATGGGGAAGAGCATTTATTATACATTTCTCTTAGTGTTCAGTATTGATTTTTTTCTCCCTCCAGATACCAGTTATATCATAAAAAGTCAAAGAAAATATGTTTTTCTAAAGATTTTCTTCCTAGCTCATAAACACAAGACCCAGACACACATACACACACAATGAAAGTTATGGCATTTCTTTCAGAAAAGATTTAAAACCAGAATGGTTTTTTAAAGCCTTTCTCACCCTACTTTTGACTTGAGAGGAAAAAAATAGTCTTGCTTTAAGTTGCTTGGAACTGCTGTAGATTAATTTCAGTACTATGTATTCTGCTGCTCAGTCTTTGGACAGACTTTGATGTGAGCGGAAACTAGTTGGTATAAAGATCAAGTGCAGAATATTGACTTCTGTGTGTGTGAAAAAGTTTTTATTTTTCTGTCCCGTTTCCAAAAAAAAGTATTCATATAGCTAACTCAGTGGTGCAGTATACTATTATTGCCAAACACTGAAATAGGTAGCAGGGCAGCAACACTCTTTTAGAATCTTTGTTTTCTGAAACTGTGATGATGAGCAGAGACTAGCACGTGTTGAAAAAAATGAAGTGCTCAGCAGGCATTCCTTATTTGACATAAAAATGACAAGCAATCTTCAAATTGCATTACCCTAGTAATTTGAGAAGAGCCCAGTAATGCCAAACATTTGATTCCAAGAATTTGTTACTTGTCCCAATAAAGTCTGATTAGATATATCTGGGATTCTCAATCTGATTATTGAGATTGGGATCGTTAATTCCCAAGTTCATGCATTCACATGCACGTTCTTTTTATTTTTCTCACCTCTCTGCCTCATCGTGCTATATTTTCCCTTAAAGATTCCTCCCTCCATCTTACAAAATATTTCTATACACTGCTTGTGAGAATGTTTTTGCAGTGCCTAGATAGGTGCTGATATCCCAGATGAAATTCTTCCATTAATGGTTAGGGAACAATGTATGGTACTAATGATAAATCTCTGATGCCTGCATCATTCACTCAAAATGCATGGAAGAGTCGCTTCACTGGACTGGTGTAGAGCAAAGCCCATTTCTACTACCAACCATTAGGATTTCCCATGTTTTCTTCAAATTTAATCTGTGAATAGGATTAGAAATAAATTGATTAAATAATGGTCAAGGATTTAAATTTTAAGGTATTTTTGTTCTAATAATGATCAGTAACTTTGCTATATATGTTAATTACAAAAGCAAATACAATAATTCTATTACTTTGTAGAAGAGTTAAATTAATTTTCAGATTTCTAGATCAGAGTCCAGATTGTCACAGCCATTTTTTGAGACAGTTGTATTTGGAATAAATATATACTGGTTCCTGCAGGAAGGAAGATGAAATCAAGCACAATACTTGGCAGTGACCTTTGACATGGATGGCTGCTAGTTCTCCTGTTGAAACATAACTATAGTTTATACCAAAAAGAGAATAGGATATAATTACTATGCTGTGAGGCTTGCCCCTTGTACCTGCAGACCTAAATTCTCTATCAAATGACTCCGCAATTAAAGGTTTTAAAAAGTTTTTATACCCCATGGAATCATTCTTGAGAATTGGCATTGTGGCGATTCAGTGCCCCATACAGATCTATGTACCCCTAGGTACATAAAAGTCCTGCTCCTTTCTTGATAAGTGATAGCAGCCTCTAATTTGGGGAAGTAGGTCAATGAAGGTACATTGACCCTGACATCATTATTTTGCCAGTTCTGTTAAGTACTGTTGACTGGTAATGAATTCATCATCTGTTATTTGACCAAGTTGAGCAGGTGGCCACACCTAATCAAAGGTGGTGCATTGAGAAAAGCTAAGCCAGCTTGGATCTGGTTAGTACTTGAGTGGAAAGTCACCAGGAAATATCTGTGTTGGAAAAATACAGAAAATAATTTAAAAGTGGTTAAGAAAAATATATAGAAAGTAGCCTCCCAAGGACATCTGGCTTGCCATAGATGATACTGATAATGCTGAATTAATTGGGCCTTTGCCTTGATCCAGTAGAACATATATTCTCTCTTTCTCTCTGTATTGTTCTGCTTATGCAACCTGTCATTGTACTGTTTTGTTGGGTTAAGTTGCTTTGGGGTCAGTGAAAACAATGTCATGTCTACCAATAAAATAGTAAATACATGACTTCCGAGTATAAATGATTGCACATTCATTGTGCCTGATGACTGAATGTCAAATAAATATACATTTCCTTTTACTATCAAAGCATTGCAATGTCAGAATTCTTACTCTCTATATTGTACACATCTGTTAAACTTTCCTAAAATCCATACTCTAGATCAGTGTTTCTCAATATTGGCAACTTTAAGATGTGTGGACTTTAGCTGCTGACTAGGGAATTCTGGGAGTTGAAGTCCACACATCTTAAAGTTCCCAACATTGAGAAACACTGCTCTAGATTAAAAGATCATTACAGCTGGTTTTGTACATCCAAGGGAATTTGGGACTTGCATTTCTAGTACAACAGCTTATCTTGTTGCATTATTCTTAAACCTGATGGAAGTGTCAGCAGCAGTATAATAAACAGATTTGCCCAAACAGGTGTCCTCAAGAAGTATTAGAACTCCCAGAATTCCTACCCAACAGAAAGCACTATATTGGAGAAGGCTGAGTTATAAAATGGGACTCTAGTATTTATAGAAAACACTTTTAAAAATTTCTGAGCCTTGATGCATGCTCATATTGGACCCAAGCCCACATTGCTGTTTTTTACATTTGTATATCGGTCAAAAATCAGTTTACAATTAAAATATGAACTGTAAAACATTAAGATATTAAAACTATAGAACAAAATCAGGAACATATGCAATCACTGTCAGCACCACAGGAAGGCTGTCTCTGTAAATATATCAGAGGAGAGAGACTTTCCAATGAATTATTTGGCACTATGCTGTTTAAGGCTTTGTAAATCCACATCAATAACTGGCTGGTACAGGTAACCAAGAATAGGTATAATATAGTTCTGTATTACCTAATGCCTTTGGACCATCCAAAAATAGTTGCATTTTACAGTAATCTATGCATTATCACACCATGGATCACTATGGACAGGTTATCTGAAGATTAGGACATGAAAATAGGCATTTGTAGGAGCAAGGTGCAAAGGCCTTATGAACATCCAGTAGCAAATCTTTAGTATGCTTCTTTTAGAATGAGAGATCTGGCCATCAACAACACCTCTGCCTTACAAAGATTCAGGCTCAGTTTATTGGCCCTTATCAAGCCTCTTGTTGCCATCAAACATAATTAAGCAAATAATGCCATAATTGTTCTGAAGGAAACCTAAATTTTAAATCATTGAAAGTATTTGCATAGACATGTCTAATAAGTGTATTGCTATACTGATTACCATTCTCATATTTTTGTTACAATGTATAAAGTAATTTTAGGAGTACTTTTAAACTGCACTTTAGGAATTAAAATTACTTCTAAAATAATAAACAGTAGTCAGTCCCAGAGGCTTCCCACATCAACTTTCATTTTGAAATGCAGACGCGACCTTATGATATAAAACCTTATGACATTTTAATTAGGAAAATAGATCATGCAATTCCATACGATGGAATAAATTTTCCAAGCACTGCTGCTTTGGACTACTGCATGTTCTTCTAAATTGGAATAAAAATGCATTAAAACTCGTCTAAATTAAATCAGTCTTAAGGTTGGGAGAGGGCTGGAAAGAGAGAAACTGTTGTTTTTAATTTATAGATGACCTTTCCTATACTTTAAATCTGTGCAAGGGAGTATTTGTGTGCAGGAGCAACTGCAAGGTGAAAAGCAGCTCTTCCTTTTTGGTGAGGCTTCTGAATTCTGTTAATTTTGTGCTACAGGCAAAGGAGAAGATAGTGATATTCTCAGCATCAATGCAGACGCATATGACAGCGACATTGAAGGACCATGCAATGAAGAAGATAATCCAGATGTGCCAGAACGGACAGTTGGAAGTGGAGATGGCCAGATAGATGACCTTCAGAAAGACATTGAGAAAAGTGTAAATGAAATCCTGGGGCTTGCTGAATCCTCCCCAAAGGATTCCAAGGCAGCAGCTTTAGCAGTTCCTCCAACAGATGATGTTCAGCCATCAGCACAGCAGCTGGAGCTCCTGGAGCTTGAGATGCGAGCGAGGGCTATTAAGGCCCTTATGAAAGCTGGAGATGTAAAAAAATAGCCACAGGGCTATTTCATTTGCTAGATAGTTGTATTTGCTCTGATGAATGTAGGGTCAGCTTCCTTCCATGCTACAGTATATTTGGACTAGTTTTGACATTCCTCATTCAAGCCCTTTGTGTATTCTAGCTCATAGCTGAAATAGTTGGCAGCAGTTTATCAGGGCCATCAGTCCGCTTCTGTGACTTATGCAAACAGATTGGTTTGATGCTGTTTTTTCCAGCTGTCCTTTTTTTTAGATTATTTCCCAACATGAATTGGAAAACAGTCAGAGGCAGTATGGATGCAGCTAAGCCCTGTTGCTTTACAGACTAGAATAATCACAGGGTTAGCTCTAG